CAGGGAGCGATTGACAGACAGAGAGGAGCAGCTAATGGATATACTAACGGAGGAAGTTATTTCTGATTTCGGGTTTCGGTCAGGGCCGGGCCTTAAATTTGGCAGAAGCAATCACGCCTGGGTAGGGTAGAGCCTGAACATCGCGGGCATGGGTAGGGCTTAAAATTAATGCCCGTGCAGGGCTTCCTTCTATTAACATATCTCCCCTATTCATTATTTAATTAATTCATTATGGTCTGATAGTCTGAGTTGACCAACTCTTGAGCCACATTACACTATAGTTCCCATAATTTCTATAGTTCCCATAATCTTTTTGAGGGATTTCTCTGATGATGGACAATGAAAAAACAATGGTGCCTGTGTGCATGGCCCTTACACTTGGACGAGCGACAAGAGAGACATTGTCTAGCAGCTTATCCCATCACACGCACATGAAAGAAATTTACCATACAATATCCCTGTGTCTGATAAGCCTGACATGCAAATCCCCCTCCTCCATGACCCTCTGACCTTCTTATCTTCTTAAGGGGAGTGGCACGTATAGCAGCAGCAGCAGGGTATTAAGAACAGCACTTATTATTATCATTATGTAGTGGGCTGCTTTGTGCGTCTGTGTGTGGGCGTGTGCTGCCTCGATATAGCCTCTGTTCTGGAGCTGATCCAAATTATTAGTAATGGGTCTGGAGCTGATCCAAAGGTGCGGACTCCGACCGCACAACCTTCACTTTACAGGGTAGGGGCCGGGTGGGCATTCCGCCTCGGAGGCAGATCCGGCTCCGGGCGTGACGACCTCATACTCTCCGCCTCCCTGTTGCGCCCCTGGTCTGGTCTGGACCTCGGCGCGCTGCTTCCCCTCTCCTTCCTCCCACGATACGCCAGGCCCTGTCTGGACCCTGGTGTGGGAGACCCCGAACCTGGAGAGGGGCTGACGTCATGGTCTGGACTGGAGCCGCTGACCGGAGCTGGATCAGGCACCGGTGGAGCGGACTGCTCTGGCTCCGGAGTGGCGCAGCTGACCGGAGCTGGATCAGGCACCGGTGGAGCGGACTGCTCTGGCTCCGGAGTGGAACAGCTGACCGGAACTGGATCAGGCACCGGTGGAGCGGACTGCTCTGGCTCCGGAGTGGAGCAGCTGACCGGTGCTGGATCAGGCACCGGTGGAACGGGCACGGGCCGTGCCGGACTGGACAAACGCACCACTGGTCTGGTGCGAGGAGCAGGCACGTGCCGGACCTGACTAGGAACACGCACCACTGGCTTGGTGCGAGGGGCAGGAACGGGCCGGGCTGGACTGGCGACGCGCACCACTGGCTTCGTGCGAGGAGCAGGAACAGGCCGGGCCGGGCTGGCGATGCGTACCACTGGCATGGTGCGAGGAGCAGGAACAGGCCGGGCCGGCGACGCGCACCACTGGCTTGGTGCGAGGAGCAGGAACAGGCCGGGCCGGGCTGGCGACGCGCACCACTGGCTTGGTGCGAGGAGCAGGAACAGGCCGGGCCGGGCTGGCAACGCGCACCACTGGCTTGGTGCGAGGAGCAGGAACAGGCCGGGCCGGACTGTGGAGGCGGACTGGAGGTCTAGAGCGGAGAGCTGGCACAACCCGTCCTGGCTGGCTGCCCACTTTCGCACTACACGTGCGGGGTGCTGGCACAGGACGCACTGGGCTGTGTACGCGCACTGGCGATACAGTTCGTAGAACTGGCGCAGGATATGCGGGACCAAGGAGGCGTACTGGAGACCAGGAGCGTTGAGCCGGCACACCCCGTCCTGGCTGGATGCCCATCTTCGCACGGCACGTGCGTGGTGCAAGCACAGGACGTACAGGACTGTGCCGGCGCACTGGCGACACAGTACGTAGCTCCGCATAACACGGAGCTTGCCCAGTCATACGCCTCTTCGCGTGAGTACGGGGAGTTGGCTCTGCTCTAACCCTAGGCTCTGCCAACCACCCTGTGTGCCCCCCAATTTTTTTTTTCTTGGGGCTGCTTCTCGGCCTTCCTCCTCGACCGGCCTCCTCCGTTTTGCCATTGCTCCTCTCCTGCCTGGGCATCTAACTTAGCCCATGGTCATTTCCCCGCAAATATCTCATCCCATGACCACAAATTGTCCACCTGTGACATGGCCATCCGCTCCGCCTGGGCACGCTGCTTGGTCCTTGTTTGGTGGGATCTTCTGTCACGTTCGTCTAATGACGGGTCAGACCAAGGCGCAGCATGATATATGTACATGTTTAATAAACCAAATAAACACAACGACAAAACTATAAACGAAATGAAACATGAAGTCCAAGGTAGCACACACAACATACCTTACACGGAACAAGATCCCACAACTCAACAGTGCCAATAGGCTGCCTAAGTATGATCCCCAATCAGAGACAACGAGCGACAGCTGCCTGTGATTGGGAACCACACCGGCCAACATAGAACTATACATACTAGAATGACAACCATAGAATATACACAACACAGAATATACACACCCTGACTCAACATATATGAGTCCCCTGAGTCAGGGCGTGACAAGGCTATTAAAATAACTCAGTCTAATCACTGTGCATGGCTGAGCGCTTAGTGGCATAGGCCTGCAGGCTACATCAGAAACATTTATTTTATTTTCTTTGCACGTGAAATATTTGGCCTTTTATAAACACATTTCATGCAATTCTACTACACTTAATATGACTGGAGACATTAGCAGAATATATTTTTTGATATGACAAATGACAGGGCCTACTCTGCTGATACTGACAAACAGATCAATAAAAATGACCTTGTCTTGAATTCAACCATCTAATCTAAGCCTACGAGAAGGGGATACACAAATTGTACAATATTACGTTAATCTAGCCTGGAGGAAGACATTATTGTCCCAAAAAAAACTTTCCAGTGGCACTGACACAATGATAATCTGTTGAGAAAATGTATGAACATTACAGCATAGGACAAAGGCCTCAATTGAATAAGGGGCAATTACACTGGAACGGAATTATGCTGAGACTCCGATTTTTCACTTTAAAATGTATGCCAAACAAACAACATTTACTGGAAAAACTGTGCAAATGCAAAGTTTAGTAACATAATTACTGTATATAATCTCCCGTATATAATCTCTGTTACCAAATGTTGTATCTGCATAGTTCTTCCTGTAAATGTGTTTTTGTAAAATTTTCTGTGGAATTTGTTCAAAGTAGCATAGAGTTGTACGGTTTGTTAAACTTTGAAATCAATGGTTTTTGTTTGATTTACATTTTCAAGTTAAAGGTCAGCGTAATTCCGTTACCTTGGCATTGCCATAGGACAACCTGCTGTGTTGACTATTGGTTGTTCCAGGCCAACAATATATTTAATCTATATATGAAGCTAGAACACCTGAATGAATTAAACACAACCAAACAATCAACAGCCCTGATGGTATAGGGGAAGGGAAAGGGGGATACCTAGTCAGTTGTACAGCTGAATGCATTCAACTGAAATGTGTCTTCCGCATTTAACCCAACACCTCTGAATCAGAGAGGTGCGGGGGGCTGCCTTAATCGACATCCACGTCTTCGGCGCCTGGGGTATAGGTGACCTGAAGAAGTGATATTCTAACATCAGGTGTGCTTTGTATTTGTTGTTTATGTACAGTAGGTTCACCAGCTGACCTTTATCAAGACACCCATGTCGACTGGATTCCCACTGTGAAGATGAGCAATGCTGCAGCAGTACGATTTCTACTTCTACTACTTCCTTTTCCAGATATGATGGTCGTCATGACAAAAGTTCCCTCTTAAACTGAATGAAGGGTGTAGCAATAACTGCTGATTAAACAGAAACACAGTTTCACATTAATATATTTATGTACACATGTATGAATATATAAAATGTAATTTGGAACAACATGTAAAATACTATTGTTTATGATATTGTAAACACACTGTACTTTAATAATAGGCTATATTGTTATATGGGTGAAATAACAAATATTTTGTGTCATCTCTGCTTTGCCTTGCCCCATGGAATAAAATGTATTTCTTATAGCCTAACTATTCTTTCTTTCTTTTACAATTTAAAAACATTTAGCGTAGAGAATGTAATTGTTGTGGTAGTCTTTGGCAAACCATCTTCATTATCACGGTGGCACCTCCAAGTGCCACTCAGACCTTCTGGGAGAAAAGTATCTGGCATTGAACTTGGTAGTAGTATTTGTGTGTATGTTTTAAGCTAAGGATCCCATCATCTCCTGCTTCCAGACATTTCACTACCTATATTACAAGGGTTGGATTTGCACTAAACAATTTCATGTCAGCACAAGGTACAACTCTGGTATAATGATTAGCGTCATATACATTGTCTACTGGTGTCGTTCTTAAATTGAGAACATATAGCTCAACAATATGTAAACAGTTTGAGAGTTAAGCTATTCTCTCTGCTTCAGATGCACAATGTCAAGGGCTGCATTGCAAATGCCCATAAGGCTAATGCCATCATACTGTAGGCCTATGGCCCATTATCATCAGCTACAAAATGGGTTCACATGGCTGATATCCTGAGAGAGAGTGAAATTCAAATAAAACTAATTGGAGAGCTTACAACTGAACAAAAAGGTCATGTTTATCTGAGAATACAACACAGAAACACAGACAAATTAGAGAGCAATTCCCTTCCCCTCTTTATTGCAGAATTGTGATCTGTGATTAATCAACATTGACACTAGTTCATCTTGAATAATAGTTTTAAGTTAGCAATTAAAATAAGTTGATGTCGTTGTCAGTGGGCAAACGTACAAAATCAGCAGGGGATCAAATACTTTTTTCCCTCACTGTACGTTTTCGTTAGAAGACCGATTTTCGGGATGTCTCATGGTCTGACAAACAGACTTTAGTACCAATTTTTTTAGTACCTAAATTTCATTTTATCTCTCTCTCTCTGTCTCTCTTTCTCTGTGTCTCTTTCTCTCTCTTTCCCTCTCTCTCTCTGCAGCCCTGTGTGACACTGTGCACCTCCATGACTGTGCAGGCAGCTGTTGGAAAAGAAGGCTCCCATCAAGCCTGCCATGGTGTCCAGACTGCCTATGTTCGGGGTCCGACCAGCCACAGGGGTCACCAGCCCCCTGCCCAATGGAACCACCCAGCCCACCCCTCCACCCCAAGATGGCAAGACCACCCCCCCAGCAAGACCCAGTTGGGTGGTCGGTACCTCTTCCTTCTCTCTAAAATGGAGAAAAGACGGTGGTAGTACTCCCACCACCACCACTAACCCTGAAGATGGTGCATGTCCAGAGGAGCGAGGGGACAAGACCCAGACTCAGCGCTCCACAGGGGGGAGGGAGATCAAGAAACCCTCGCCATCCACCCCTAAGGGGGTCAGGAGGTCTGGTTTGTCTGTGTCCTCTACTTCTACCCCCAAGGCCATCCCCCGTCAGCCCACAAAGACAAGCCCCAAGGCAGGGCCCAGACAGGGGCAGAGCACCTCCCTCTGTGGGGGCCCCAAACCAGGCCAGAATGGAGCTACTGCTGGCTCAAGATGGTCAGGCTCAGGCCTGGTGAGGCCCCGGGCCAGCTCCAGCTTCCCTCGCAGCAGCTCTAGAGACAGCCTCTGCCAATCCAGTGACAGCCTTAAGTCCATCGTGCAGGACAGCATGGTGCGCTCACAAAGTTTCACCCACTTCAAGCAGATCCCATCCCCGACCAACCTGCCTATGGCATCCTCCTTTTCCTTTAATCGGACAGTGGAGCTGGCCAAGCCTCTGGCCAACACTCAGCTACAACCACCCAGGACAAACCACATCAAACCCCCCCAGATGTCGAACAGAAGGCTGGGCCTGGGGATGGGCCTCGGCCTGGGGATGGCGCTGGGGCTGGGACTGGGGATGGGGATGGGGATGGGGATGGGGGAGCTTCAGTATCCTAGGAGACCCTCTTCAGCCTGCTCCCCCTCCACAACCCCTAGTGCCCTGAAAAAGCCTCTCCTCCCCAACTGTGTTCTTAACAAGCCCTCTGCTCTGGGCTATAGACTGACACGGTCTGGCCAGGCCAAGCAGCAGAAACCCCTGTTTACAGGGAGGGTGACAGGGGAGGTCAGGTCTGGAGGGGTGGGGGGTGGGGATAGGGCAGAGTCAACCCCCCTCACCCTCATCCCAGATCCCCTCAGTGACAGTGACAGGACCTCAGGGGGGCAGCTCAGGGGGACAGGGGAGGGGCTAGAAGACATGTCTCTCTCCTCAGCCTCATCTCTATCTCGAGGAGACACCAGCGAGGAGTTCTTGGATGACTTTGATAACCTGACTGATGGGGACGGGGATGTACCTGACAACAGGAAGAGAGGTAGTACTGCCACTCAGATCCGCCTGCGTAGCTTCCTGAATGAGACCATGGACTGGGCTGTGATGGGCCTCTCAGGTAGGCTTAAAAAAAACCCTGCTAGAATCACATCGTCTTCACCTTCCGGAGACACTTGAAACCCCACCTCTTTAAGGAATACCTGGGATTGGATAAAGTAATCCTTTTTTTAAATAAATAAATAAATAAAACATATTGTAAAGTGGTTATCCCACTGGCTATAAGGTGAATGCATCAATTTGTAAGTCGCTCTGGATAAGAGCGTCTGCTAAATGATGTAAATGTAAATGTACTGTTGTGATTTGTTATTACTAGTTGCCACAATTGACAACTCTAGTGCTCTTAATAACACTACTCCAGTCCCGCGATTCCTGACAGTCAGTAAAAGGTACAGTATGAACTGTTTGACCTGTGTGTGTCCCCTGTGCAGGGCAGAAGGAAGAAGTGGGGGTGAGGGCATCCCTTGGCATCAAGTCCCCAGAGAGGGGAGACTTCCTCCAGAGCAGCTCATCTCTGGAGCTGTCCCTCTCCAACAGCTCAGAGGGCACCTACATGTGGGACGAGGAGGATCTGGATCCCCTAGGACGGAGCATGCACCCATGTGAGCGCTACGACGACTCAGACCACCTCAACAGCATAGTGAGTCAACGCTTGGTTTGCCCCAGGGTACCAAATTCATACACACATGAAAACACCTATACTACCGGTCAAAAGTTTTAGAACACCTACTCATTCAAGGGGTTTTCTTTATTTTTACTATTTTCTACATTGTAGAATAATAGTGAAGACATCAAAACTATGAAATAACACATATGGAATCATTTATTAACCAAATAAGTGTTAAACAAGGTAGGGGGGGTGGGGGGTATACAGAAGATAGCCCTTTTTGGTAAAAGACCAAGTACATATTATGGCAAGAACAGCTCAACTAAGCAAAGAGAAATGACAGTCCATCATTACTTGAAGACATGAAGGTCAGTCAATACGGAAAATGTCAAGAACTTTGAAAGTTTCTTCAAGTGCAGTCGCAAAAACCAAGAAGCACTATGATGAAACTGCCTCTCATGAGGACCGCCACTGGAATGGAAGACCCAGAGTTACCTCTTCTGCAGAGGATAAGTTCCTTAGAGTTACCAGCCTCAGAAATAAATGCTTCACAGAGTTCAAGTCACAGACACATGTCAACATCAACTGTTCAGAGGAGACTGTGTGAATCAGGCCTTTATGATCGAATTGCTGCAAATAAACCACTACTAAAGGACTCCAATAATAAGAAGAGACTTGCTTGGCCCAAGAAACACGAGCAATGGACATTAGACCGGTGGAAATTTGTCCTTTGGTCTGGAGTCCAACTTGAGATTTTTGGTTCCAACCACCGTGTCTTTGTGAGACGCATTGTGGGTGAACGGATGATCTCCGCATGTGTATTTCCCACCGTAAAGCATGGAGGAGGAGGCGTTATGGTGTGGGGGTGCTTTGCTGGTGACACTGTCTGTGATATATTTAGAATTCAAGGCACAATTAACCAGCATGGCTACCACAGCATTCTGCAGCGATACGCCATCCCATCTGGCTTTGGCTTAGTGGGATTATCATTTGTTTTTCAACAGGACAGTGACCCAACACACCTCCAGGCTGTGTAAGGGCTATTTGACCAAGAAGGAGAGTGATAGAGTGCTACATCAGATGACCTGGCCGCCACAATCCCCCGACCTCAACCAAATTGAGATGGTTTGGGACGGACCGCAGAGTGAAGGAAAAGCATCCAAAAAGTGCTCAGCATATGTGGGAACTCCTTCAAGACTGTTGGAAAAGCATTCCAGGTGAAGCTGGTTGAGAGAATGCCAAGAGTGTGCAAAGCTGTCATCAAAGCAAAGGGTGGCTACTTTGAAGAATCTCAAATATAAAATATATTTTGATTTGTTTAACAGTTTTTTGGTTACTACATGATTCCATATGTGTTATTTCATAGTTTTGAAGTGTTCACTATTATTCTACAATGTAGAAAATAGTACAAATAAAGAAACACACTGAGTAGGTGTTCTAAAACTTTTGACCGGTAGTGTATATTTACCTGGCTGGTCAGATACAGTAAGAACAAAAATAGAGTCATGAGAGTCATTGTTTAGATGTGGCAAAACTGACAATATCGTTGGAGGGTTTCATTGTCCACAATTGCCTTATCTTCCACCTAGCATTCACTTGATATAGTATCACTGACTAGTAATGATGTACTGTCATTTATGTATCATGCACAGTACAATACATACTTATTTCATCTGATTGACTAGTGTTGTTATTCACCAGAGGCCTGATACAGTGTGTACCTTTATAATAATAATAATAATAATATGCCATTTAGCAGACGCTTTTATCCAAAGCGACTTACAGTCATGCGTGCATACATTTTTGTGTATGGGTGGTCCCGGGGATCGAACCCACTACCTTGGCGTTACAAGCGCCGTGCTTTGACCCTATTGTGTCAGTCTTGTCCTCCCAGCATGCCTACCTGCCCTTGATCCCGCTGCTAATATTTGGTTAATTGGATCCTTAATAGGCATTAGGAGAACAAAGACTTGGGACAGAAAGGTAACAGGAATGCCAAGGCTGCCAGCCACCCACTCCCAACCAAGGTCTCCCTCCCTCGGGGTTCCCAGATTCTGGAACGTCTGCATAGCTCCTTACAAGTCACATATGATCTCCTGAAGATAATCAGACTGTTTTTCCTGTTTTCCTCTCTGCATTCTGGTGCCATTGGCTCTGGAATGTTTAAAAAGCTTAATGACAGGGATTTAAATAAGTTAATCAGCTTTGTATTTTCTTCCCTCCTTCTGGGGTTTACCATTACATGTAGACACGGAACTGTTGTCCTAACAGTGATTTAAAGACTACTGAGACTGTGTGTATTGATGAGAGAGCTGTCTGGGGATGCCAACTGTTCTGAGTGGGTGACTTTCTGACTAGAAAATCATTGTACAGATACAATTACAATAAAATAAATATTGTGTCTGGTAGGCTTAGTAGGATAAAGTCCATCTAACATACTGTGTCATAATTGTTTGGCCTATTAGAAAAGTCAAAGCATCCTTGAGATTTGCTGCATTAGTTTGGAACATTTGATTCAGTGCATACACAGCAAAGTAAAGCATGTATGTAGGGCAACACCTTGTGGGCAACTGGGCAAAGCCATTGTTGCACTAATAAAGAAGTTTAGATTGAGTAGAAACACAACAACCTTCAACACATTCAATGTTGTGTATCATTAAGACTATTCCAGATAAATAGTTAAGAGAAAGTTATGATAAAGCGGGAGCAAGGGAGTTAGACAGAGAACGAGATAAATATGAATGGAGTGGGAAAGAGAGTCGTCTGCAGACTGATTAGCTTCATGGGAAGTCTGACTTTGAAGTGTATCTGGTATATTAGATAATAGAGAGAATTGGCTCATTAAATAGAATGAGTCTAACTCTCTTTCTATCATGTTATAATGTAGGAATAGACAATGAATACCAGTCTGGCACATAGACCAGAAGAAGGATGTAAGACATGCAGAATAATTCCTGGGCTGGGTATTCCAGAGGGCCTGGTACCCTGCCCTGCCCTGTCCTGAACTGACATCTAGACAGATAAGTATCTTAACAGACAGCTTTGATGATCTGTCGTCTGGCGTTGGATTAACCAGACAAACGTCTTATTATCCTGTGTTGTAAAAGAGCTTCATAACACTAATGAGAACAGAGTCAGAAAACTCTGTTTTTCCCAAGACAATTCAAATCACAGTCATCATCCTAGTTTAGCTGTCTTGCAATACATCTATGACTCCACTTGATGGCAGTGTGAACTTATCCTAGGACACGAGTGTGTTTGTGTGTGTGTGGTTGTGGTAAGATTCACCTGGCTTCCATAGTGCACTGTTGATGATTTCCTATAGCCTACTGTTGAGAAGTAGACTGCCAGCTTCTCAATTAGAGGTCTTCCTGGCCTTATATAAGATGATTTGAATGCATTATAATGGCATTACTTTAATCTTCCGGCTAGCCAATTGCATTCACCACTGTCCACCACATATGCACAAGCTTAGATGAATCTCTCTGAGAACAAATCAAGTCCATATCGTCACTTACAGTGAGTCAGGGGAGTGAGAGGAAGTGGACTCCTTCAGAACAGCTGCATTAACAGACAGGTTCTGGTTTGTTTTAACCAAATCTCTATTTTTATTGAAATTACATGCAATTTTGTTGGACTCGAGTGATAGTTTTCTGTGAGCGTGCGTGCGCACGCTTTCTCTTTTCCATTCCTCTCACTACATGCACACGTACAAGCAGTCTGCAGATGAAAGATGGCACTTGTCTGTTTTGTAGATAATAACAAATATTTGTTATGTCCTAAATGGGCTATAATAATATGAGAACGGATAATATTTATTTGGCTCTATTTGGACACTGTAGAAAGCATTGTCCTGAGAAAACATCAGTATCACCACAATGGGAACGAAAATGCACGCTCATGGAAAAGTATCGAATCTAACAAAATGAAATATTACATTTCGGATAAAGTTAAGAATGACACAATTTCATGTGTACAACACCTAAAGACCTGCATTACTATACTGGGAGCTTTGCAGTTTCAAAAAATGTTTACTTGGGTGTTTTTGGAGACTTTGTTCATGTTTTCTGTGTGCCATCATACTGCCAAATGAGCCTGCGGAGGTCTATCGCTAGTGGGGTAAGTTTCTCAAAACCAAGTGAAATCACAAAAAAAGTATCTGAACACTTCTATATCATGCCATTTAATCAAACATAGAGATTTGGTTAAAAATAGGGTGTGGAAGACATATTGTAGAGTGGTTGTCAGTATTAATTCTAATGTACCTGAAAATGGTTATTTTCCCCTAAATACAGTAACTGATTCACTTTGATTGACATAGGAAAACAGAATGTGAAGCCCCTCTCTCTTCTCTTCTTTTCTCTTACTCTTTCCTTGGGCTGTTTATTCCTTATTCCTGCAGGTACCTAGTATTTGTGGTGTTTTTATTTTAACACAGCTTCTCTCATGTGAGACACCCGATGCTGACAGGTGTATAAAATCGAGCACACCGCCATGCAATCTCCATAGACAAACATTGGCAGTAGAATGGCCTTCCTGAAGAGCTCAGTGACTTTCAACGTGGCACCGTCATAGGATGCATCCTTTCCAACAAGTCAGTTCGTCAAATTTCTGCCCTGCTAGAGCTGCCTCGGTCAACTGACAGTGCTGTTATGGTGAAGTGGAATTGTCTATGCGCAACAACTGCTCAGCCGTGAAGTGGTAGGCCACACAAGCTCACAGAATGGGACCGTTGAGTGCTGAAACACTCACTACCGAGTTCTAAATTGCCTCTGGAAGCAACGTCAGCACAAGAACTGTTCGTCGGGAGCGTCATGAAATGGGTTTCCATGGCCGAGCAGCCAGACACATACCTAAGATCACCATGCACAATGCCAACCGTCGGCTGGAGTTGTGTAAAGCTTACCGCCATTGGACTCTTGAGCAGTGGAAGCACATTCTCTGGAGTGATGAATCACGCTCACGCTTCACCATCTGGCATTCCAATGGACGAATCTGGGTTTGGCGGATGACAGGAGAACGCTACCTGC